GGAAGAGGAGGGGTCAGGAGGTCAGGAAGAGGACTCTGGGAGCTACTGCTCGCCAGAGATTGTCGGACGCCGGCGCGCGGCAGTGCCCGCGGCGGTCCGCGCCAGCTCTGCTGCGGTGCGCGCCGGTCTGAAGCGGCTGCGGGCGGGAGGGCCAGTCGAGAACCTCCCTGGCTTTCTGTGTAGGCCTCCCTGATGGGGTTGCAACACAGTCAACCCGTATTGAAAGGACGCTCGATAAGGATGCAAGGGCCCCATGGAAGGCCATTTCGAAGCTTTTCGAGCGGAGCGCGGCAAGCGAAAGTGGCCAAGGATGGGCCGAAGGGGCAAGGATGCAAGGGTACACATGGAAAGGCTGCCCATCCTTATTACGCGGGTTGACTGTAGATAGGGTCGGAGTAGATGGGGTCGGAGTAGATGCCGTTCGAGATCCCAGGGTACGCCAGGTTGCTGATAGAGCCCGACGGCACCACCATCTCGGCCCACTGCGTTTTCCTCGGGCTCGCGAGAGAAACAGCGGCCCCGAGATGTTCTCTTCGGTTCTCGGCTGTGTTTCCAGCCTCGGGGTGTGTTCGGGCAACTGCGTCTCGCCGAGAGCGCCCCGGGGGTGCCGGAATCGTCCCGAAGGGCCGCTGTAGAGCCGAGCTGTAACCTGAAAGCGAAGAGGCGACGTTGGCCGGGGCGTCTCTCTTGGCCTCGCAGATGGGGTAGGAGTATATGGGGTCGGAGGGTCGCACAACATCGCCGATGCATCGCCGATGCGGCTCGATGTGGAGTCAGAATATCTTCACGCCGATGGCGCCGAAGCGTCGCCGATGAATCGGCGATGTACCGCCGATGAATCGCTGATCGAGTCGACGGTGCGGCGCGACCCTCCGACCCCATCTACTCCGACCCCCTCTGGGAGGTCTCTATTTTCTTCTGCCTGCTTGGGCCTCTGTGAGGCCTGTCGTCGTCACGGCCAGATCCGCCTCGATCAACAAAAAGCGGGCCAGGCGGGACACCAGGAGGGGTTTCCGGGACAGGTTTCGAGCGGCCTTGGGCCGGGTGAGCTCAGAGAAGCGGCCGCGGGCAGGAGGAGGGAGGAGGGAGGAGGGAGGGAGGAGGGAGGAGGGAGAGAGGAGGGAGGAGGGAGGAGGCAGGAGGGAGGAGGGAGGGAGGAGGGAAGAGGCAGGAGGGAGGGAGGAGGGAGGAGGGAGGAGGGAGGGAGGAGGGGAGGGAGGATGGGGGAGGGAGGGCCGCGCACGAGGGTCGGTGGGCGGCACGTCTGCATGGGGGCACGCCGCACAGCACGCGCAGCGCGCACGGGGGCCGCGCCCCGTCGCCGCGGACGGAGCTTCGTTTGGGGCCGCCTCCGAGGAGGGCCTCGCCTCCGAGGGTCGGGGGAGCTGCCATCGCTCCCTCGGCCGAAGGCAGCGGAAGGGTCGGCGCGGTGTCCACTTGGGGACGTTCCGAAGAGGGCCTCGCCTTCGAGGGTCGAAGGAGCTTCCGGCTCCTCCTCGGCAGGAGGCGGCGGAAGGGCGACGGAGGGTCGGCGCGGTATCCTCTTGGGGCGTTCCCAAGCGGGCCTCGCCTTCGAGGATCGAAGGAGTTGCCGTCTCTTCCTCGGGGGAAGGCGGCGGAGGGTTGGCGGAAGTAGCACGAGGCCGCCTTCGCCAGCGGAAGGCGGCGCAAGGGCGGCGGAAGGTGGGAAATGCGCCCCCAAGAGATGAAACCGTTTTGGGGTTCAGGGTTTCTGGGATCCGCCGTTTGAGACACAATGTCGCCTGCTGAAGGGCGGCCGCTGTCGGATTTGGACAACGTTTGCTGCTGGGCATTGTGCCCACTGTTGTCCCTATCCAGTTCGGGCGTTCCAGAACTTTACGTCTGCACCGATCTTGGCCAGGCCTGTCTTGGGCCCTGGATGAGTGTCTACGCCCTTCTGGCTTTGGCAGAAGATCGTAGACGCCGATCCTGGGCTCAGGATGAGCCTGGCCAGGCTCGGTGCAGGTGCATAGTTGGCGTCCTCCTGGTGGAGTGCTGCTGTCTTTGACGTCTGTGGTGCGAACAAGGAACTTCTGCATAAGCATAAACTGTCAGATCTCCGCGCAGAATCCTTGTGTCGGCGCTGGGCCCGCCTGGTGGCGCCTCTGGCGCCGCCCCTGGCGCGCTCCGCGTGCCAGGTAGGAGAATCTAGCGCCGATCCAAGAAATCCGCGCGGAGCTCCGAGAGATTCTGTTTGTGCTGTATGGTGCTGTTGTCTCTGTCTCTGTGGTGTGCCGTTGCCCATGTCATGACGTCTGCGGTTATGTCGGTTCGGCTGCGTCGCAATCTTGTGCATTCGGTTCGGTGTGGTTCGGTCGGTTGTCGCGTCGTTGCCCAGTCGGGGCCGAGCCGCTGCGCCCTTTCTGGGCTGCTCGCGGCCTGCCGGTTTCGGTCGACCTCGGTTCAATTGTTGGTTGAGTCGGCTTTTGGTTGCGCTGTCGCCGTTGACGTGCTACTTCGTAGGCGGCATCGCCCCGAA